AAGATGCCAGTCGTCTGTTAGAGAGCAAGTGGCCTTGCATGTTGTGTAAATGGTCTATCAGTATTCTGTATTATGTAAATTTAGGACTGTCGAACGATTAATCGCGATTAATCGCATCCAAAATAAAAGTTTGTGTGTACACAATATATGTGGGTGCATTGTGTATAATTATTTTATATATATAAATACACACACATGCTTGTATATATTTAAGAAATATTTTCATATATATATATATATACATACTGTATATAGATTTATTTTATATTGTATACAAATATAAATATTTTATATATAAATCATTTTTTTTTCTTAAATATACATGCATGTGTGTGTATTTATATATATATATGTATATATATACAAATAATTATACACAGTGCACCCACATATATTAAGTAAATACACACTTTTATTTTGGATGTGATTAATCGTTTGACAGCCCGTGCTATCATTGCTTAAACATCATTGATGCTTTGAGTTAATAATTTTGTCCATAGGGGCTGTTGAATAAATTACTTCACTTTCACGTGTTATGCTCTGCAGTTAAGACTGCATTAGGGCTAAAAATAAACAAGCTTTCCAAAGGCAAGCACATCCACGACTATATATAAACATATGTTGATGCAGTGTAATATATGTGCAATTCTCCATGCTGAGTTCTGAGTGTGTTATCAGTGCAGAATTATAAGCCTGTGTTTCTAATATGACAACATCTCAAAAAGGAGAAAAAAATAGCTGACATTGATCTAGACATGCCAAAAAGTGAAATGTGGACATAATTGAGAGGACATATTTGCTTTGCTTTCTGAAATGATGCAGTCAGGGATTTTTGACACATTTCAGATATGATCAAGAAAGTGAATTATGTAAAAGGTCAACATATTGGATGAGAGAATTACAGTATGCTGATCTTTACTGTAGGATTATTATTATTTTTTTTTTGTAAATGTGTATTTTTACAGTAATTTGTTGTGTTTTGGCCAAAAATGACCAAGTGTATTTGACTTGACAGTATGCAATTCAGAATACAACATTTTATTTTATGGAATTTGTGTAAAATATTTTAAAACCATGACACGTTTTTACAATGTCATGCAGCGCCTTGCTCTGTTCTGTGACGCACGTTTGTAACTCTCCAGTTCAAACTCTTTCATCAAAACAAACAAATTTTTTTCCGAATAATTTGGTTCATGAATGAATAAAAAGATTCGTTCATTTTGATGAACGAGTTCGAACAGGAGAGTCACGAACGTGCATCACAGAACAGAGCAAGGTGACCATTTGAGCTTATAAAACTTAAACTTTGTTATTTTTTTTTAAAATGAGCAATCGTTTCGCTTGATAAGACCCTTATTCATCGTCTGGAATCGATTAAAGCCCTTTGAGCAGTATGCAGTTTGCACTAAAACTGTCAAAAACCTTAATTTCTTTTTGACTGAAGAAAGAATGACATGGACATCTTGGATGACAAGGGGGTGAGTAAATTATCAGCAAAAGTTTTTTTTGAAAAGTGAACTACTCCTTTAAGAGATTTGTTCAAAAATGCAGAACAATTGGAGTCTTTATAAGTGAGTCAATGAATCAGTGAATCATTGAATTCATTCATTCAAACCGTAAAAAAAAGTAATCCAAAATGAATTTAATATTTTTTTAAATAGAATGTTGCTATTAACATTTTGTCAGAACCTCTAATGAATGACATGGTTTTGTTCAGTCTATTCAGAATCGTTGGCGATTTGTGATCTCTTAAACAAAAACAATCGTGGACCTCTATATCTATCCCCCTCCCCCTCCCCGTTTTTATTATTTTTGTATTTGTAATAGTGATGCCAATCCACATCATATAGCCTAATGAATAATTTCTGACAAAATCAATAACCATTAGAAATGGATAAATATCTGAATATTTCAGAGAATGATTATCTGCTTTTTTTCATCAGCCCATTTAGAGTGTTTTACTGACTAATTAAAAACCCACAAATTGACGACAAAAATCAGTCCCGCCCATCTGGTGTCAAGGAGACAGCTGTTACATCCCTTCTCTCCCGGGGAGCAGATAGAAGAGCTTGCTCTGTTATTTCAGACAACATCGATAACAACACTATGGATACACAGCATGCGAATCGTTACAGTGACTCTCCATCAGGTGCCAGAAAGAATGAAAAATCTTTATAGCTAATGAAAGTGCAAATGAGGCATTTGGTTAATGATGGGGTGCGGACAATATTGGCCTGATTGCACGAGAATGAATTAAGCAATGCGTGTTATGCTCTGAGACAATTGTTGCTTTAAAAATCAATTTTATAGAGATGTGGAATGCTGCGATTTTAAGTAGAAGTCCTTCCTTCCATAGTTTTAGATACACTATATAAATATCCCGTATTTTACCGTCCCAGTCTTTTCACTGTATTAGCTGAATGAATTTCCAGGACTACAGGACCTCTTGTAGAAAATCCATATCTTGATGCTTGACCGTTTACATGGTAGAAAGTGGTGCAGAGTCATACTTGCTTGAAGCATTGCATTGTGCTCTTTTTAATGAGGCATGAATGTGGCATGAGTAAATGATTGTGTGTTTTCTATCAGGATGTGTAAAATATGGATTTAAACGCATGGATGAAATCACTCACGCTAAGCTGAATTGCTCCTTCTACACAGAGAATTTCATATTGGTTGTTCCTTAAAAAAAAAAAAAAAACTAAACCAAACCTCTAAATCAGATTTCCAAACTGTTTTTTTTTTCCAGCCTCTTGGGTCCCTAACCCTATGAAATAACTTGGTCTGCATTGATTTTATTGGTCTCATTTATGTTTTATTGCATGAAATCAGTGTAAAACAGAATACAATTACGAACAGTATGCCCCCCCCCCCCCTTTTAATAGTGATGCCAATCCACATCCTATCATTAATAACTGCTGGCCCAATCAAAATATAATTAGAAATAGATAAATATCGGAATATAACACAGAATGGTTTTCCTTGATTATCATAAAGTCTCTCCGGGAGCATTTTTCTCCATCTAGCACCAGCTGTACCTCTCTTGACCGCACAAACATTTTGAATTAGTAAAGTTAGGCTCCGGTTTCATGCGGTTTGATACGGTAGCAGGGTTGCGTTAGGTAACCCCTGGGTTGTCCTAAAGTGGAAACCTGTTCATGTTACATAATGAAAGAAAGCTTTTCTGTAGCTCAAACAGTAAAGCGTTGGCGCTTGGAAAGCCAACGTCATGGGTTGTATTTCCAGGGAAAGCAAGAACTGATAAGAATGTATAAACCTTGAAAATGCAATGTAAGTCGCTTTGGATAAAGCGTCAGCCAAATGCGTAAATGTAAAGGTAAAATGAATAGGGTAGATGAAGGCTGTGGCGTGTCTTCTTCCTCAACTAGCTTTTTTTCAAATAGCACATTAAAGAAAGTTGTTTAGCCATTATTGTGGAGCCGGCTCCATTATGACATCACTTTGTAGGCCAAAACGTGGAAGTGAGTTAGCATTTTAGCACTTCCAGTTCCCTCGCCCTAGAGTCTGGGTTTTTTGAATGGGTTTTTGCTAAATCGCCTGAAATGAGGTCTGTGGTGAACAAAGCCTCTAAATATTTTCACGTTTTGATCTATGACGTAAAACACACCAGTTATAACCTGCTTGTGGTTTTTTAAACTTTATAGGCTTCAAAATGTATACATTTTTGATTAACTTATAAAGATTATCAAATTGTAAAGAAGGGTCACAGATGGGGAAAATGCATAGCTTTTCGAAACGAGGGAACCAATGTGCCGCTAACTTCCGAAAGTGACGTCATAACTTCAGCACTCTATAACGTTACGGATGGTGGCTTTCTATAACTTGTTTCAACAATTCCAATTTATTCGGGAAACGCATTAAACATACACATCAGTCAACAATAAATCAGGTATATATTGATATATTTTCTTAAATACATTTGAATAATAAAAATAAACTAAAAATGTATTTTTATCAAACTTGCCTGGGTGGGCCAGTGAGTAGTGTGGGTGGCCCATTACTACGCCCCTGGTTTGAAGGCTTAATTGATTGTACATTTTGCCTAATAGCAGTTACTAATTGTCAAATAGCTGCATAGTGTTAGAGGGATATGCACAGCCGGAGGGTAATACAGCACTACTAGCACGAATTGAAAATGTTAAAGGGGAACAAGTGCTTGATTATGCTGTGCAGCAGTGACATTTTAAAGTGTTTCATAGAATGATAAAACACTTTAAAATGCATCGTGGATTGATATAAGAATAAGAATAATGCTGCAGCTCTTTGGCTGGATCAAAGTTCTGGTTGAAAACGTATATGTTGCCAAATTAAGATTTAATACCCTGTGCAATTACTAAGTCTGATTAGTAACTGCACAGTAAATTGCAGGATTGTTTTCACTGATTCGTGGGTGCCAATAAGGCCTGAGTCATCACACTGTGGTTGGACAGATGAGAGAACATAAAGGGACAATGTGCCTTATAAACTTTAAATAAATCAAGAAATCAATGTTGCTTATATGCAGTGATTCAGCATGTGAATATTGAATATTTGTCATGTCAATAAGGCTATGTTCTTTGAAAATGAAGAGAATGTTTAGCTGCTGCAAATTTTAAAGCATCAACTCAAACATGGCTAATTGATCCACATTTAACGCATAAGTCAATTAATCATGCAATACAACACACAATGGTTTTCATTGTCATAATCTGTGCAAAAGGCAGTGTAATAGACGTTTAAAGACACTTTAGAAGGTCTTAAGGCCATATACAGAACAATGATTATCATTATTTTGATAATCAGCGCAGATGGCAATACAATGGAAACGTATGCTATGCTAAATCACATGTGGAGTGTTTTGTAAGATATAATATCGGAAAGTAATGTATCATGCATTTAAGCCGAGAGATCTGTATGGAGAGCGCAGCACTATATGCGTTGAGGAAGCGGATCGCCTGTAAAGCGGCACTGCGGCAGTACTGTATCAATCCGCCCGGTCCCCGCTCGCTCTGGGATCCTGAAGCACGGACTCGCGGAGAGGAGCAGCTTCGCTTCCTTGCAGGATTTATTTGTTCGTGGAAAAATTTCTCTTTTGTTTTCCGTCTTAGAGCAGCGCGCTTTCCGAATGTCGACGACTCGCTCGGACGGCCCTTCTCTACTCGCCAGGCTTTGCATGTGTTGCTTTTGTCCTGCAGGAGAGAAGGCAGGCTTTGTGTTTTGGTGGATCTAGAGCTGAAGGAGGCAGTGCCAGGCGCTGCTGCTGCTGCTGCTGCTGTGGGCTGGACCTGCCACGGTGCGTAAGATTTACTGACGGACAGAGAAAAAGAGAGAGAGACAAAAAAGACTCATGGAAGACAGCGAGAGTGAATGGAGGACTGGCAGGGAGTGTAAATACATTAAAACCATTTATATATTTGGTGTGTGAGTGAGTGAGTGCGCGCGCGCGCGCGCGAGTGTGTCTGACAGGAGTGCCAGCACAGGGCATCATCAGGTTCAAGAGATATGTGATTGGGAATAGCTTTGTAATAATAGCCGACTTGTACTGTTGATCATTGCTATTGGTAAAATATTACTGGGATGCATAATTCATATGGAAAAAGTATGATTGCAATGCTGATATTCAGTGTTTTGTTAGTGGTGTTTTTTTAAGGCAGATGGTTGGTGGCCAGTGAAGTTTAAGTTGATGAGCCTCTATGATGTCATAATGTAGATGTTCTTGCCATCTTGTGAAGTAAGTTTACATTGATGCTTGATTATGTATTGCTGTTGTAAATCTTTGTTATGACTATTTGTGTCATCTGATGCTGTTTGATGCTTGATTATGATGTCATAACGTAGCTGCTTGTTTGGTCAATCAATTATTAATAGTTGTGATGTCAATGTTACTAGTACTAGTGTAAGTGTTCACGTTGTCTAGTAAAGTTCATTTGTTTAGCTGTTTATGTCATCTGATAATGTTTTAGGTGATACTTGGTTATGATGTCAGTGTAGCTGCAGATTTAGTGATGGATGATTGTGATATCATAATGTTCTGTAGATTCTGTGTTCTGTCAGTTGTTGAAGTTGAATATGATGTCATAATAATATAGCTACTGAAGATGTTAATATCTGCTGGTGATGACCATGATGTCATCAATTTGACATCATATATGACATCATGCATTTTAGCCACAGCCTTTCTGGTAGAAAAAGATGATTCTGCTCAAAAGCTTCATTAGTTTAAAAACAAACAAATAAGTTAGGCAACTTCATAATGACAGGACATTATACATGAACTGCAATTTTTTATTTTGTTGCGCAGACTTGTCTCTTTTTTAAGATTAATGGAAAAATAATGCTTGGAATGAATAATTTCAGAAGCTGTGCTGGCCTTGGTTTGTCAGTATTCTAATAACCTAATGTACACTTCTCTTTAACAGCCCTGTTGTGTTAAAGGTTTTTAGTGTTTTATCTATAGTTTGGTTACATTGGGAAATAAACAGAGGAGTAGAGATTATCAGTAAGGTGCAGAATATTTTTTTGTGTGGCTTTTGCTCTTGTTGTACATAGATGTAACTCTTTTGAGTAGATGACTAGAAGTAAGCCATAAACGTTCCGTCAATGTATTCAGTTGAACTAAAATTTGCTGTGAGAAAATGACAATTTTTTTCTCTTGATCTACAGCTCTGTTAAGAAAAAATGAATAATTTTACTCTGCCTGTCTCCGGTTATAGCAGTCACAGAATAATGACTGTGCAGGAGGAGAAATATAAGCTCTTGAATATGTAATACAGGAGATCTAGACTCCGCTCTGTAAATGGCTTATTATATGATGTATTTATTCTGCAAGAACACATTTTGAATAATTTCCTACAATAGATTTTGTTTTCTTTCAAGAAACTGTAAGATCTAGGAAGATGGAAATGTGAAAGTGACTATAGTCATTGTGGAATTAGATCAAAAGGAAAACATCTTAAGATGATCTCTTGCAGAGGGTCCAAATGTATTATGAAAAGTATTCATTTGCCTGCATGATGTATTCGTATAGATAAGGGTGGGTATTCTGGGAATGCTCTTTAGAGAACATTTCAAACATCTGCTCTCTATCTCTTTGACTTGTAGGATGGGAAGGTGTCAGACTGCACTTAAACAGAGTGTTGGGTCCGTGAGGACAGCCATGTGGAGACCTGTTACAGCTCCGTTGGAAGACACTTCAAGTGATCTGCCAGTTTGTTTCCCTGTAAACGTGGTCTGAATTTGGAAGCTTGGATACTTTCCAGTTTGGCAGGATTCTATTTTGGATTTTTGTGCTTGTGGATGTATATGCATTTTTCTTCTGGAATCTCATGTGCGTGTTGCATTTCAAGCAAAGTCACATAACATCAGCCGGTTGTGGAATTTGGATGATAGCACATCTCACACTGGAGTTCAGTTATTAAGCTCTCAATTTCAGGTGTTTGTTGGGAATTGTGCGAGTTCTGCATCCACAACTGAGCTTGAGCCAAGAACCTCCTCTCTAGGAAGTGTTCGTTTGAGTGTGTCATCTGGTGAAATGGATGGCCCGCGGTGCAGCGGGATCCGGAAAAAGCGGAAGTCTCGGTCCGTGCGAGACCGGGAGCGCATGTCTAACGGGAACAGGAATAACCATGTCCGGGGACCCGTGCTTCGATTCTCCTCGGATTCTGAGAGGGAAGACCGCACCAACCCCCCCTCCTCCTCCTCGCGACCCAAGCCACCGAGGAGGAAGAGGAAGGAGTCTACCTCTGCTGAGGAGGACATCATTGACGGATTCTCAATATCAGGATTTATAACGTTGGAAGCCCTTGAGGTAAGAAACTTGTACTTCGGACTTCGTGTGAATGTTTTTGACTGCTGTTTTTGGAAGTGCTTGTTTGGTTTGGCTGTGAAAAGCTCAGTGGCGGTATAATGACTGGTTTATTATTGTCTGTAGACTGCTTCTTTCTGGACTCTAATTGCCTGGGTCTGTTTGCACAGTATTGGATTTTCTGTTGTTCCACTGTGAGTGTGTTTGTGATTCAAGCAGATGTGGCTTTATATGCCATTTTCCTGCCAAATGCGCAAGGCACGTCTGAATTTGTGTACTTGTGCATTATTCAATGCCATTTTGTATGACAGATACTGCATGTGTAGAGTGTTCACACTGGAAATTCCAACAAGAAGTGCACTTCAAATACCGTACTTGGATGATGCACTCAACTATTAGCCTACAGCTTTCCTTGTGTACTGTAGAAGAAGACAAGGGGACACAACAAACACCTGTAATTGAGAGCTTAATAACTGAACTACAACGTGCCATTCGCATTATAAATGGAAGCGAATATAGGGCTCACACAAATTCAATATTTATACAGTTAAAAATTGTAAAATTCGATGACTTATTAGAATACAGTCTTCTAAAAATAATGTGTAAAGCGCATTTGAAAACATTACCTGAAATCTTGCAAAATAGATTCATCAAGAGAGTTAGTAATTTTAATTTAAGAGGAACTGAAGTCTTTCAGAAACCTGAGTTTAGAACAAAATTAAAGGAAAGATGGTTCTCAATACAGGGTGTCAGTCTGTGGAATAATCTAAATAGTGAAATTAAAACTTCAACATTATTTTTTTGTTTTTTTTAAGAAGAGTGTAAAAGCATTACTAATAGAAAAATATATTGCATCTATTTAGTAGGAAAATGTGTTATTTGATTTATGACTTTGCATAGGTGCTGCAAAGTAAATGTGTGTTTTAAGTGTACCTCTTTGGAATTGTAATTTGATTTATGTCGATAAGGGGCAGATATTATAAGTTCTTTCTGCTATATCTTCTTTCTGCTCCTTTTCATTTCTTTTTTTTCAAAAGAATGAAATAAAATGTATGAATGAATGAACTGAGAATGTTGTTGACTGTTTCAGATCCAACTTGATGCTTGAATACTAATAATAATCTATTATATCTTATCTTCTTATATATAATCAATCATCATAAATAGAAAGGGTGTTATCTTTAGCAAAAGATGTTCATGTCCTCTGGTGAAGTTGAAGAATGATGATCATGATGTCATAATTTAGCTATAATTGTAGATGGTTCAGATGACAGATTTTAGTCAGAGACTTTTGGTAAGAAACAAGATTCTGCTAAAAAGATTAATTAGTTTAAAAAACACATACACAACAATTATAAAATATAATGAAACAAAAGAATAAACATCTAGATCTTTAACTCCTTTTGACAGCATACATTTTGAAACTAAACAAGCTGCTTTAGTTTGGACTGTTACACATATTATTGGCAGATTGATCAAATGGATAATTTGTGGATGTTTATTATTTTCTGATTATTGGGAAAAAGGCCATATGAGTTTATAGCTTTATACAGCCATCAAGTGAATTTGAAAATATGTAACATGCACAGAAATAACCAAGTGAAGTTTTACCAGTGGGAAACTCTGAATTATACAATTATACCTGAGTTTTGATGTTTAAAAGTAAAGGGTGAAATACACTACATAAATTTTAACATCTGAATATAGTTTAAAACACCAGCCATCATGCACTTTCCAACTTTGTAAAGGATTACAGAGAGAAACTGGCCATTATACACTGAATGACCGAGGATCATCATACACTACCAGATTTTTCCTTTCTGTGAAATCTGTCATCTCCGACTGCTTAAAAATCTGCAGACTTGTGGCAACTATTGTCAACTCATCTAGATTCTAGACTGCAGATTGGGGCAAAAATCTGAGCAAAAGTCATGTAGTGTATTCCAGACTTAGGCCATGTGTCCACCAAAGCGTTTTTATCCAGCTGAAAACGCTAGACGCTAAGCTGAAGACGCTGTGCTTTGTGCGCTTGAGAGCGTTTTGGCAGCGCAGCGTTTTTTCCTTTGAGACGTTTCGTTGCTATGATACAGAATATCCGCATCACAGTTTACTTGTAACTGATTTCGCAGATAAATTGTTTTATACTAAAAATGTATTTTTCATCCATTTTGTTTGTTAGCTTTGTTGGTTGATGTCGTTAACAGAAACAATGTTGTAACAGTTGGTCAGTGTGGTTTTGTCCCGCCCCTCCTCCGCTGTGATTGGACGGTTGGGTAAAAAGTGAGAGAGATGAGCGCTGTGTTTTATCCAAAGTTGAACATTTTTCAACTTTCGGCGACCAGTAAAAAACGCTGGGCGCTTCAGCGTGAAAAAAAACACTCAGCGTCTTGTGACGCTCATGGTGTTTAAAAAATGCTGCGCTCCCATTGAAAACATACGCCAGGCGCTTGGAAAAACGCTTTGGTGGACACACGGCCTTAAGACGCTGGAATGGAAAGCAAGGGGTCAAGTTTTTGTTTGGGGTTTAGCTTTTTCCATTTATGAGAACTCCTTGAAAGCAGTAAATGCTAAATTAAAATGACCAGGCTGTCTTTCAATACTATTATTTTTATTTAATATTTGTATTTATGTTATTCATTAAATATGATTAATTTTTTGTCTTATTATAGTTAAGTAATATACAGCTATTTACTCACCCTTCGCAGTTTGCAAGTTGCATGATTTTTTTTAAAATGCGATGCATTTAATAAAACATAGATTGGGTATAAGTAATGAATGTGTGTTAACTTATGGTTACAACAGTTTTATTTTTTTTTCTGACTTTTGATGCGTCATCAAAACAGTTTTATTTTTTCTCTGACTTTTGATGCGTCATACCTTGGTGCTTACCAGGAGCACTTGAAGGCAGCATTGGCACTCGCCATAGTTTTATTTGTCAGTCTTGACAGGACATCTGTAGAGTGTCATTCTGACTTTCAGCGCCACTCTTGCTGTTAAAAGCCCAACAGTCTGACATGACAAAGCTTTGCACGCTTTACCCTCACATCCCCTACAGATGCTGTTGCATTGTTCACTACAGTAATCTGTGAAAGGAGCCCGTCAGCAGCTTACACTGTCACGCTATAGCGCTATGAACCGCAGGCGCAGTTCTCCAGGGGTGACATCTCATTCACCGCTCTTCACTCTTCTGGGATCCGTGACTTATAGCCGTTTCCTGCATGCTCTCTCATCTTGCTTCATTTAGAAGCTCACAGAGCAGGAGACCCTAGTCTAGATCCTGCATGTCAACGATCTCATGCATGCAGCTCAGAAGTAGCCTACATCAAGATGTTAGGTCTGGGAACTCACAATTGACATAGATCATAAATCTGAGGGGCGTGATAAGCAGTTGTCTTTCAATATCCCTCTGCACACCATAGGATAGCGCCACAACCAACCAGAGCAACGAACGGCTGTGGCTGGCTAAGTGAGTCCAATGCGTTTTCCCACCAGCCAGACTGATCTCATGAAATGGCGTATGTATGACACGCCAATTCGTATTTCCATTTTTGGCGTGCTATCAACACGCATAATCCCAACACGCAAAGTGTTTATGAACACCGTTGTCTTAACGTTACATTACTGTGTAAATATATGTCCCATTGTCCCTTAACCTACCCGTCACTGGGGTTAATACCATTTCTGAGTCGTCCCCTACCATCCAAGGAAAAAAATATCGCTCCCCCGATGTAGATCTACATTTTGCTTCGTTTCGCTCTGACATTTAACGGCGTGTACATACACGCAAACACGCGGAAAGTCATGATGTCATGTTGCAGTGGAGCAAGTTGATATATTAAACGTTTGCCGCATCCGGTCATCAAAACTCCGAACACATCTTCCTTTAAGAATGACTTAAGTGACGTAAATGTATGTATGTAAATGACGTAAACGTAAAACCAAAAATGTATCAATATATGGCAGACAGTCAGAGCCATCTTACTTTTAACTAATACACCTATTCTCTCTTTATCCCGTCTCATTTAAACGGTCTCTCTCTCTTCCTCTGTCTCACTATTTCTCTTTCTTGTCCTTCTTTTACAACAATCCCTTGATGGTTTCAATATGAGCAGGAATTTGTCCTCAATTTGCCAGGAGGGGCTTGAAGAATTCGTACAGGTATTCCCAAATGACACATTGAAATCCAACTCGTTCCACTCAGTGGTCAGGCTCGCTCATATTGGAGTGAGCCATCAGCGAGCGGGTGTTTATTAATGCTGCTTAGTGCTGGAACGACAGGCCTGAGAGGCAGTGTATTACACCACTTTGAGAAATTACTAAATCATCAGGCTCGGGCCGCCTCAACAAACCTCCTCCCCCTTGGTCCCTGAGCACAAAGTTGCCACGTAATCGTTTCAACCTCCTCCCCCTTGCCCGCCTCTGCATCCCCAATTCAATATTACTTAATGCCGGCACCACTGGTGCCCTTAAACCACTTTATGTGATCATTGTGTTGTAAAGCTCCAAGCTCATTTGATTGAGAACAGCAGTCACCCTTGCCTGCGTTCCCCACTCCATTGATCCACTCGTAAGAAGAAAATGGTTAAGTCAATGTAAATAATACTAATGTTCTAGTGCCTGACGCAAAACAAAGCATTTGTTCCACACTGGTTTTTCTCTTTCAGCTGGCTATCAAAATAGCTTTTCTGATCTTAATGCGAACACATCTAATGTTTTCGACTCCATTGTGTTCTCCTCTTTAGCTAAATTGAGTCGCTTGTTAATGATTTCAGACCGAGCTTTTATCATTTACAAATATTTACACAGCCTGCAATAACTTAAATGGAGTTCTAGAAAAAAAAAAAGATTAGCATTTCAGAAAGAGACATGGAAAAGACAGAGGAGGGACCCATCGTGCCAGGAAGTGGATGGTTGAAAGTGGAAATTAGGTCATGGCCGGAGGAGGGTTTGGCATGAGGCCCAGAGGGGCACATCTTTCGTCTATCGCCTAATGCCACGGCAAG